TTAATTAGACGTGTAGTCAACGAAGTATGACGCTAAGAATCCAATATTTTTTAGATTATGAATGAATGAAATTGTGGGAATAAATGTATATTTTACCTGTTTATTAATACAAAAATATAGAAATATTTAGGAAACACGGGCTTGTAAGTGGGTCCAAATTACCTGTTTTCGCCCACTAAACCTCGAACTCGAACGGAGTATCTAATTAATAACCCTTATGTAAAATTAGTTTATGCTCGGGAAGTATTGTAACATAATTCATTTAAAGAATAGCTAATTTCATGTTTCCTCAGCGTTTCATAACTCCCACAATATGAACAAGTAGGTTACTCGTTTCCGCGTGTTTGTCTGTTATGTGTAGTATCTCGGAAACTACTGGAATAGTTGTAATGAAATTTATCCCCACCAAAAGTTGATGACGTCAACTTAAAATTTTAAAAAGTGCACAGTAATAAGATATTATAAGCATGATTTGGTAATTTACCCCTTTATTGGATTTGTATTCAGGAGCGAGGGAGGTTTTTGTGCTAGTAGTCGCCGATCCCTGGAATTACAACTCATATTTTACTGTGTTTAACACATAGTAAACTATAATATTAAAGCAATAAAAAAGTAAGGGGTCGTTATTGATTTTTGATAGGTGTAATTTTCTTGGGTGGTTTATAATCACAGGTAGAGATAAGTGGAGAGTAGGTCTTGACTTTTATAATAGGATTGATACGGTTAGCACGGCGCATGCACATGATGGGAAAAAGGTAATTTATATTTCATTCAGCAAATTAATTACATGCAAAGATTCTGTCAGAGGGATTAGGCAGAAGAGTTAAAAGATTCAATGGTGCAAATACATAAACTGTCTCCTTGTCAGCTCTAGGCTGGGGTCGTTGGTACGTGGCGAGAGCGAGAGGGTGAGTATGGCACATTGGTATTCTGGCGAGATGCCATACCTCAGCCACCTCACGAAATAAATTTGCAATAATCTGCATCGTATCACGTCAAGGGCAGTTTCAACTAAATTCCGATTTTATTTGAGCCGGAACATTTTACTTTTCAAAAACGTTTATGTATTCTACATTGAATAAATTCAATTTTCAGCACATTCACTTTTCTATTTACATATCGTCCGACTTAACTTGATATAATTTTAAATGAAATGTTTATTTTTAAATATGCAACCGTATGCTAATGAGGGGTTGAATTTTGAAAGTTTGTGCTGTTTGTTTCGCTCTGTCAAATTTAAAAATATTAAAAGTTGGTTTCTTTAATCATTATTCTGAGCTCATTCAACTGAAATAAAATTTGTGATTTTTTTATCGAATGGAGCACAGAATCCTGAATTTTAATCGACACCCGGAATTGCATTTGCATATTTGAAGCCACTGGAGTTGTACTTTTGCCATCTTAAATTGATCTTTCTCTGTATAACCTTCGCCGAACTGCAATCAACACTGACGATAAATAAAAAAATGCACATTTTTAAACCAACGTCTAATTTGATACAGTTCGTGAATAGAATAAATTTTAAAGATACAAATATCACAAAATGGTCGACAATAATCATGTAATGTAAATAAAAAAATCAGATACTGGATTATGTTAATTTATAAAATTTAAGTAGCATTTACTATGCAAAATTTTAAAGTGACGTCATCAAATTGTCGGTGGGGATGATAAGACAAATCTGGGTTAGTGTTTTACCATCCACACGATATTCCAAACACACATATAGAATTTCACACGAATCAGGCCAAAAATTATCTTGTCACATATATTTTGTTTCTTTGTTCTTTTTTCTCTCAAATCAAACAAATTCCTATGTAACATTCTTCCGATGCACAAACACTTGAGGTTTTGACTTTATAGAGATTATCACAAAACAAATATCGCAACTTCCAACTTTTCAATAATTTATTATTAGGAACCTAATCAAAGTAAGAATTAGAGTTGATTTTCGTGTTCTTAGTTTGACAGCCGGCGGTCAAATCAATAACTGTCTTGATTGTGGCTACAAAGCAACCCAGGGACTTGAAAATCGCGATATATGTGTGCCGCTTTCTGCAGTCTCCCCTATATAGTCACCCTATTTATTTTGCATACTAATATGCTAAAATCGGGGCTAACAATTAAAACCGTAACACCTTTACACTGTTCAGTTTTTGCCAATTTAATATAAACTGATTTTAGTAAGCGGAAAAGGGATTATGTTGTTTATTAATCGATGAGTTACTTTGATCTAGGTGATCCCGTACATACGCTACCACATGTTCAAACAACGTGCAACATGACAAATGACAAGTGACAAGGCAATTTTCCAAAGGAGTATCGATTGATTAAATTTGTGCAGCGGATAATTCTGCACTTAATATGAGTGTCTACAGTGTTCGAAATGGTTTTATTATATTTCATAATTAATTAAATTAATTATCTGTACATTATTCAGACATTGTTGCATATTCGAAGGTGTCAGTTTAATTTTGTCTAATCAATACTGACACTGTGGTTGTTTTATGATTTTACTTTTAAATCATTGTCTTACTTTTGGGTACTAAAAATCGTTGTCATAAGTTAAACACAACATAATATTCATAAAAAATAAAAATTTCCGTTGCTTGTGTAATTGTTGGTTGCATACATTTGGACAAGGTTCCTTGTGGGTATTGTTTATGGGAGGCTGTTATTTCGAAACTATTTTGTTTTGTAATGCAACATTTCATCAAACTTGGTTTTTATTGTATATGGTAGTTTGTTTTGGTTTTCAATTGTCTGATTCGTTGTTAATCAATGATCAGAAAAACGCATTTCCAGGAAACATTCTTCCATTATAAAATTCCAGTAAAAACAAAAAACAATTTGGATTTCATCGGAAATGAATGAACGAGGAATACAAGAAATAACGTGGCCGTAGGTATCGAAACGAATTGAATTCATTCGGCTAATGTAATATCCAGCCAAGAAAATAATTTCAGACGGATAAATAGTGAGCTAGGTGGAAACGTATAAATGAGAATTGCTAACTGTAGTGAGAGTCGCTCCCACCTAAGCCCTCTGATTTAAATAAAATCTCGAAGTATCGCGTGGCGGGCGGCGGGTCGGCGGCAGTTTATCAGACCCATCCGTTCAATCAGGAAGACAGTAGATGCAGGTCGAGCCAATTCAGGAGAAGATTCGCACTGCTTCACTATATGCGTCTCTTCGATTGTGACAAAGATGCAAAATAACGCAGTGCTACTCAAGTGGCGAGGATCGGCCGTCTGCCTGCATTTGCTTCCACCTCAATGACTCCCAATGCCTCTAAACGCCGCCAATGGGGACCGAACGGCGAAAATCATTGCGGGATAATGACATTAAACTCATTAAATCAGAATAAGAAGCTACGATGCTTTTTACCGGTTTTATAAGCTTGGCTGGATATCTGAGTAGTTTTGCGAAAAATGCGAGAAGAAAGGAAATAAAATAACCGCCAAATGAGTGAGTCGCTAATTTTTAAATTACAGCACTATGGCGGCACCTCCTAACGCCACTAACAAGATATACTCGAAGACAAATACATATTATCGATTCACGCTCGCTGGAAATAAATGGTGGATACTTTTACTACAAACGTTTAGTAAGACCCATTTTCTAACTGAATCAAGGGAGACACTAAAGTACGTAAGTAAAAGTGTACACTGTGACACAAATCAAAAATTGTGTTTAGTAAAAGGTGATTGTAATCTTTATCGCTCCATCTGTCCTGAAGGGACATGAAGGAAAGTCATCCATAACCCTAAATATTGTGTCGTATTCTTTGTTACAAAAGTAGCATCATTACTGAAGTGTGACTATTTTACCGTTTATATATTTCTTTCATATTTTATTAGTAACGTCAGATTCCAAAGTTGTCAATATGGTATACATAAATATATCTTGGGGATGACGATGTTCTTGTATCTGTTCCAGAATTAATTAACCCAAAAGGCATCTCACTACGGATCAAACTAGACCCAGTGATTGATTTCTATTTTGAATGTACCCCAGAATAGATCAACAAGGTTACAAGGTTCGAGTCCTAGTACCTATTGAAGATGTGTCCACGGTCCAAGCCCAAAGCTTCTACAATGAGCCAACACAGAAGACATTTCCAAGGAGAACTTCAGATTTGACCCTACAAGGATATGGCTAGCTAAGGTATAGTCAAACAGTGTTCCCAGATATAAATGTTGCGTGAACGTTGAAGTTGTGTCCCACTGAAAACCTTCTTATTACTTGTTAAAACCTCAAGGTACTTGCAACTTGGTCCTAAAAACCCACCCAAGAATGATTCAATATAGAAGACACCTCGGTCAAAGGAACTTGAGGCTCTGAAAGTGCTTAGGAATGGATCAACACCTAAAGTGTCTCAATAAACAGAACCTCAGGTCCGCTCCAACTAGAGTAAGGCTAATTTGAGTATGGGGAGCGCATAATCTGAAATTGGGAACATTGCTGAAGGTTTTACTCCTTACCTCCGTATGAGGAACGTGAGAGGAGGGATATGTTCCTACCCGGTACAGCTAATTTTATGGAACAATGAAGCGTTTTAAGTCAACTCCTGATTTCGCGTGGTACCGGCTGCTTTTACGAACGGGAACTCTAACGCAGGCTGACCAAAGCCTTGAGTACCTTGTAAAAGGGCTGAACATTTGAGCTGACCTTTTTTTCAAGGGAGGAGAAATCCTGGTATCGTACGATCAATTGCACTAGGTAGTCCCGGACTGTTACCGGCTAAAACTCCTCCTAGGACAGTAAGATCGCCTGGGAGCTACCGTCAGGTATTGCTTTTCTTCGTCCTCATTATTTCCTTCAGAAACCTCGCTACTTTACTCCAATTCATCTCACTTTTATATTTGTTCTTCTTGTCCCATCTGAAACATTAAAAAATTGTGTGTTTTGCACTATCTTTTCTTCTTGCTCCACTCTCTAATATCTGGGATAAGTTTCCTTGGCTATTGAGCCTTTGCTATTAGCTTGTCGCCTGGTCTCTAGAGAATCTTCAGTACCAGATACAACTGTATCCCTCGCTCCCGCACCAAAAGATCGTTTGGTGGGATTCCTACTACCGCTTGGTTTGCCGCCGACACAGTTCTCTCTTCAATTTTGCCAGTTTTTTTGGTTTCCCAAGTAGACAACAAGGGGTTCAGTACAGACCCTTGCAGGATACCTGTTGTCGAACTCGACTTTCTCAGCCTTTTGTTCTTCCTTCTTTTCCATTCAGGAAGATGTTTTTCCGCCAGTAGGTCCAACGGAGGGATCCCAGCCAGCACGCACAGTGCCTTCCAGGATACCGTGCGATACGCACAACATACCTGCAGAAGCATGTTTCTGTGGATACCCAGAAGCATCTGTAGATACTTCTGTATGCGGTATCCAGCGATCCACCCCTTCTCCCCAAACAACAAAATCCCATGGACGACACTACATACCACTCTCCTTTTACTCGCTCTGGGCCCTCCTACATTGGGTATCAGTCGGCCCAGGGCACCCACAACCATTTTTGCTTTCTTTACCACCCGTTCGACTTGCTCGGGCACCCTGAAGTTTCTTTGAAATTCTACCCCCAAGATACCTCATCGCTTCCCGGGTCTCGATCATTCTGCCTTCCATACACACACTCATTTCTCGTATCGTCCTTTTATTGGGTGCAAGTGACAGACCATTGTCCCCCATCCTTACACCCACGAACCGCAGTGCCTCTTTGGTCCTTTCTATCAGGTCCTCTTCATTCACTATCACTGCCAGATTATCCGATGCGCTTTATCTGCATTCCTATTAATGTACAAAGTATTCTTTGAACAACACGATACTTACTCAAAAACATTTTTCCAATTTCTCGTAGGGAAATAAAAATTTTGCAGTTAAGCTCCGCCTTCTTGGCTCACGATGAATAAAAAAAATCATCAGAATTGACACAGGGCGGGCGGGCGGGGCTTATATTTTGCCTTTGATTTTCTTAATATACGTAGCCATATTTTCACAACAAGAAACTGAAGAGCATGGTACATTTTTTCAAGAAAATATGGATTTTGCAATTATCGAGTGGAAGGCAAAACGTAAGCCCGCCCACCCGCCCGATCTCGATTGTGACGATTTTTTTTATTCGCCGTGAACCAAGTGGGCGGAGCTTAACTGCAAAACACTTATTTCTTTACAAGAAATTCAGAAAATATTTTCGAGTATCGTGTTGTATAAAGAATACTATGTACATTAAGAAAAAAAGGCAAAATATAAACCCCGCCCACTCGCCCCATCTCAATTGTAATGATTGTTTTTCTTACAAACTTAAAACACATTTAAAATGGTACATTTTTGTGAGGAAATTTGTATTTTGCAGTTAGACTCCGCCCTTCGGTCTGACAGCGAATGAAAAATTCATCACAACTGAGAATTGAGATTGGGGCGGATATGGGTGGGGCCAAATCTTTGGTTTTATTTTTTTATTAATATATGTACATAGTATTCTTTGAACAACACGATCCTTACTCAAAAACATGTTTCCAATTTCTCGTAGGGAAATACAAATTTTGAAGTTAAGCTCCGCCTTCTTGGCACACGACGAATGAAAAGATTCATCAGAATTGACACAGGGCGGGCGGGCGGGGCTTATATTTTGCCTTTGATTTTCTTAATATACGTAGCCATATTTTCGCAACAAGAAACTTAAGAGCATGATACATTTTTTCAAGAAAATATGGATTTTGCAATTATCGAGTGGAAGGCAAAACGTAAGCCCGCCCACCCGCCCGATCTCGATTGTGACGATTTTTTTTATTCGCCGTGAACCAAGTGGGCGGAGCTTAACTGCAAAACACTTATTTCTTTACAAGAAATGCAGAACATATTTTTGAGTATCGTGTTGTTCAAAGAATACTATGTATATTAAGAAAAAAAGGCAAAATATAAACCCTGATCACCCACCCCATCTCAATTGTAATGATTTTTTTTCTTAGAAACTTAAAACACGTTAAAAATGGTAAATTTTTGTGAGGAAATTTGTATTTTGCAGTTAGACTCCGCCCCTCGGTCTGACAGCGAATGAAAAATTCATCACAACTGAGAATTGAGATTGAGGCGGATATGGGTGGGGCCAAATCTTTGGTTCTATTTTTTTATTAATATACATAGTATTCTTTGAACAACACGACACTTACTCAAAAACATGCTTCCAATTTCTCGTAGAGAAATAACGATTTTGCAGTTAAGCTCCGCCTTCTTGGCTAACGATGAATAAAAAAATTCATCAGAATTGAGACAGGGTGGGTGGGCGGGGCTTATATTTTGCCATGTACCCTCATTTGCTCCTCTAGCGTACTGACATTCTTATGCATAAATCTTGCATACCTCTGTGGTATTCTGTTCGGAAGCGGTGCCTTTTTGACCTGACCTGACCTTTTTTTGTGTGTGTGTGTGTGGGGGGGGGGGGGTTAGGGAAACCCTCAATCGGCTCCACGCGGGACAATTTCCATTCCACGGAGAAGTGTGGGATTTTTAACTCACTAAAACCCCTCTCGTTTTCTCCTGGATCGCCCGGTACCGTTTTCACTTACCATCGGGGATCGGCATTCGCTTTTACGCTTTTTTTCATGCTCATCTTTTGTTCTCATTATATAATTTCCATATACGTTTCGATTCTCTTCGGCTTTCGACAGCATGCAGTCGACCAGGTTTCCTACATTCACCTCCCTTCCAAGGAATAGTTCTAGCTCTTGCTTTTTGATGGACCGTCTTGGGTAGCTGAAGAGCGTGTGTTCCGCGTCTATCGTCTATCGTTCCCGCAATTACCGTTAACGCCTCGTAGAAACTGTAGTGTACGTACTGCATATACGCAGGACCATCAGTCTTTGTAAGGACAAAACCGGGTTCTTATATTTTTCTACTTTCATCGCCTCCACCAGATGGGTGCCCCGTAGAGTATTATGGATTGTACTGTCGAATACAGTACCTTCCTTTTCTTCGCCTTAGGTACTTTTATATGGTCTACATGTCTCCCAAAACTTAATCCTCGATCTAGGTTTATACCCAGGTATTTCACTACCGGTTCCGGCACAATCTTCTTGTGAACTTGTTCGAAGACCAACTCTGCGATGTTTGAATTTCCTTCTGCGTTAGATCTTTTGGCAATCTTCACTACCTCGTCTACCGCATTCAGTGTAGGTCTATGTTTCGTCTCCTCTACCGGTGATCCTTTTGGTTTATCGATCAATATCAGTTTGCTTGTTTTCCATGTATCCGGATGAGTTTTCCGAGAGGATGTCGTTAAATACGCCCTTGAAAGACCTGACCTGACCTGACTTGACGTGGCCTGGCCAAACCTGTCCTGACCTGGGTAAGCGAGCACTGAGACGCCCCGAAAGTTCGGAGAGCCATGGGTAAGGCAAAAAGGCTCTGGGGAAGGTACCTCGAACCTTCCCCAGAGCCTTTTTGCCTTACCCATGGCCTCTTGGACAGACAAAGCCTGGGACTTCGGGTGGCGTCCTACGGTGTTTAACCCTCATTGGTCTTGAATTTATGGGGCAATGAAACGCTTGTCTATGGTGGTGTCTCTTTTCAAGGAAAGTCCTAGAACCGGAAGGCGGCAAAGACTGGTGTCCCGAAAGCGACGGGGGTTCTAACACTGGGGTTCTAACTCTGGTGATCCTAGTAGCGTCTTCGGGGTGTCACCGGGTGACAGTGATGGTGTAATCGATAGGAGGATAGAAACGTGGTAAATTCGTAGGAGTTGATATGTATTGTTTACGATTTTTTTGAAAATTGCCAGTCGGTGTATAGGAACACATTTTAGACATTGTGTTAGAGTTATCTACCTACAAGTTAAAATCTGTTGGATCTTAGGGACGTATTAAGAAATCAATAAAAAATTCTTTTAAAAAATATAGGTTATGTAACTACTTACGGGTGACAATTATGTTCGTGTTAATCTGCGCAAGCGTATAGAGAACATAGGCTGCGTTGTATGTTATACAGTGTGTTTTACTTTGATATTACTTACAAAATTCATTAGCGTCCTTCATGAAGGTTCGCTAAAGGTAGTCTCGGTGTGTCTTATACTATCTTAACAGACTAAGGTAATCACTGCGATGTATATAAATTAAAGAGCATGGCGAGTGTAGATCGTTGTATTGGTGTGAGCGAACCCTACGATTGTATGATGCATCATGTGCATATAAATTTGCTAATCATCCGACGAATTTAATGCATGATGAAGTTATGCACTCATCTGCTAAAGTGAATGGTATAAATCTGGTAGCTTCTACCAATCGTAATCAATAATACGTCTACGCCTTGTCGTTTTATCAATGTAACCGGTAATTTAAATTCGTTTTCGGTAAGGATAGAGTTATATTCTGATTACTAAGATATTAAACAAATGCGGTGGTAATTTGGTTGATTATTCTCATTTAGGGGAACAATAAAACAAGGTTTTGATTTATTTTGTTGACGTTTAAGAAAAGTTAGGCAAAGCAATTGAGTTAGGTACTTAATTTGTTCCCATGTTTTATTGCATGGAGGAGAGTGAGTTTCGATGAATAAGCTGTAAAAGCACACATTAGACTGGCCAGAAGGCAAAGGAAAGAAGTTCAGAGAGAAAACAAGCGTAGCTCGTTAAAGCAATGGCCGTATTGATGACCGGCGAAGTGATCGGTTCGTGGCTATGTGCTAACAATAGCTATTCTTCAAGCTACTATTAAAGTAACAAAATAAAGAATCGCAGCAAAACAAGACATCAATACAAGATTTATATATTTTCATGAAAAACTCTGTTCAAAGCAACAACACGTCTTTGAAAACACTTTTTCGACGTCGTAATGAGCGAAAACGAAACACAAACTTGACAGTGTGATGCGGAGTTAAATTAAATCAAACTCCTGGCATACCAGAAGACATGAATCTGTTATCTTTGCCCTCCTAGTAATCAGGATCAAATTCTGTAGTTCAGCAGTTTGAGGTTTCTTTATTGGAAAGGCCGTCTATGTGTTGACGTGCTACAGGGGTGGTCAGTGTGAAACGACAACGCAGTTTCGAAGACTAGTAACGTTAGTTGTTTACAGTTTGCTGGAAGCGGCCGATTTACCGCAAGCCCTATTGTCTGTCCCCGAGGTTGAGGGGCGATCCCCGGGTTTATCAAAAACTCTAAATGCTTTGCTGACGTCAGCACACTGTTAGGTATACTAATTTTATTACCGACGAAAATTCGCCAGATGAGAAGGAAAACCAACATTGTCATGTGTAATTTACTACCCTTTTTTTATTGACTATGTTAATCAATTATTTTTTATTACGTTCCGATTTGATGGAAGCAGTTGTGTGTGACCTTTAAAATGCTTTCAAAGCAAATACTTGAAGGTTAATTTCAAATGATAAATAATTTTACTGTTAAAACTGACCTAAAAGTGGCATTTGATTGCAAGGATCGAGTTCCTGTATCGCGGAAGAGGAGCGTAACATCATTATCAACTTTAATACCTTGTTTTTGGATTTAATGGTTTTGGTCATGTATTGCGGGAATCTCATTTAAATGATGTACAATTGTCTCACACTTGTAGTTAGTCGTTATAAACATTGCATTGTTTCGCCCTTTACAAGAATTTATCGATTTCGTCACCAACTTTAACAAAGGGAATGGTGTTGTTTATGTAACAGAAACGAAATCAGTATCTCGCTTAGGGTTAAAGATCTCCGTATTTTTACGAAAATGAAAAAGTGATATAGGCAAAAGTTTCAAAATTGGATTTAGTGCTTACCTTTTAAGATGTTCAATCTTTGAAACTACTGAACTGATTGTTGTGAAATTTAAATTTTTATCACAAAATACCTGTAATCTATTAAGCTATTCCCACTTATAATTTTATATATGTAAGTTTTTGGAAAAATATTCAAAATTGTGTAATTTAACTTAGAAACTACAAAGCTCTAAAATTTCGCATACGTTTTAAAATTATATAATTATTAATAGCTAATTATAATATAACATAAAAATGATCGAAAGTTGTTTCAATAGAACTTCCCTCGCCTCTGAAGTAAAGTCAAACAAATCCTGCTTTATTGAAAAATGATAAAAATTGATTTTGCGAATTTAATTCATAAAAATGACTACTAGACTTTTGACTACTGACAATGATTGAGTTTGTGGCGGCACAATAACGCGTTAGTAAGTGGAGAAAGATAAGCGGCCTCGTAGTCTAGTGGTCAGGATATCCGCCCGGCAAGCGGGTGACGTGTGGTTCGATTCCCACCGAAGCAGCAACATTTACTTCGCTTACCCTCAAGTTCATCTTTAATTCAAAAACCTTCTTTATCCTTCAATTTTCTAAATCTTTTACTAATACAAAAGGTTTACTTTCAGGTTTAGAACTATTTAGTTTGGTCAAAGCTTCGAAATGTCTAAAATTCCAGGCAACTGTAGTTTTTTAAAGTAGACTTTTAATAATTTGTATGTAATTTTGTTTTTTTTTACGGAATATTCAGATATTTTTCAAACATCTATGCAGTTTTACATCTGGCTGATAATTTCGAATTTGTTTTTCTCTACTTGATTTTAATGGAAATCAACTTAGACAATTGGTAAATTTGATTCGTAAAATCTTTAAAATCTGTCAATTGCCAATTTTGGGATTTATTTTTAAAATTGAAAGCTACTTATATTTTGAATTTTCAGAATTCTTAAAATATGAAAAAGGTAATAAAATACGAAAAGGTTTATCGATTTTCAGTTTCAATTTCAGGCATTTGAGAAGTTTGGCGGTTAGAGTTTTGATTACTGATTTAGTAAATCTTTAATTCAAAAACCTTCTGTATCTTTCACTTTTTTAAACCTTTCACAAATATAAAGGGTTTTCCTTTCGAATTTAGAACTTCTGAATTTTTTCCAAACTTTGAATACCTAAAATTTCAAAAAATTGTAGTTTTTGAAAGCAGATTTTTCAAAATTTTTATAGATTTATAATTTTTTAAAATTATGGAATACACACATTTTTGTTTCTTTTTTTCCAGATATTTTCAAATATTTTTCAAAAATCTACGGAATTTTACATCTGGTTGAGAATTTGGAATTTGTTTCTCTGTGTTCAATTTTAAGGGTAATCAATTTAGACAACTGGTAAATTTAAATCGTCGAATCTTTAAAATCTTTCAACCGTTTAAAATTTGCAGGGTTCTCGTTTTGAAATTTGAAAATTGCGACATTTTAAAAATTTTCAAAATTCTTAAAATATAAAATATGAAGAACAATTAAGATACGAATTTTCAGAATAATTAGTATTGTTTTAGGAATTTTCAGAATCTTAATAGGTATTATCATTTTAGAAGTTTGACGGTTAAATTTTTGAATATTGATAGATTTGATCTAAAATCTTCTCTATCTTCCAGTTTTTCAAACCTTTTACATATATAAAGAATTTTCCTTTCAAGTTTGGAACTCATGAATTTTTTCTGAGCTTTGAATGTCTGAAATTTTGAGAAATTGTAGTTTTTGAAAGTAGATTTTCCAAAATTTTTACTAATTTATAGTTTTTCATAATTATGGAATAGACACATTTTCGTTCCTTTTTCCAGAATTTTCAGATATTTTTCAAAAATTCACGGCGTTTTATATCTGGTTTAGAAGTTGGAATTTGTTTTTTTTTCGTGGGATGATTTTAAGGGCAATCAATTCAGACCACTGCAAAAATTTCATACGTAGAATCTTCAAATTTCTCAACGGTTTAAAATTTCCAGTGTTGTCGTTTTGGAATTTATTTTAAAAGTTGAAAATTACGACATTTTGAAAATTTGCAAAATTCTTAAAATATGAAAAACTATTAAGAGAGGAAATTTCAGAATTGTCTGTATTGTTTCAAGCATTTTCAGAATTTTAATGTGTATTATTATTTTAGAAGTTTGACTGTTAGACTTTTGAATATTCATAGATTTTATCTAAACTCTTCTATATCTTTCAGTTTTTTAAACCTTTTACATATATAAAGGGTTTTCCTTTCAAGTTTGGACCCAGTGAATTTCAAGAAATTGTAGTTTTTGAATGTAGATTTTCCAAAATTTTTACATATTTATAATTTTTCAAAAATCCACGACGTTTTACATCTGGTTAAGAAGTTAGAATTTGTTTTTTTCTGTACTTGATTTTAAAGGCAATCAATTTAGACAACTGGAAAATTTCATTTGTAGAATCTTCAGAATCTCTCAACGGTTTAAAATTTCCAGGGTTGTCGTTTCGGAATTTATTTTAAAAGTTGAAAATTACGACATTTTGAAAATTTTCAAAATTCTTAAAATATGAAAAACTATTAAGATAGATAATTTCAGAATTGTCAGTATTGTCTCAGGTATTTTCAGAATATGTATTATTATTTTAGAAGTTTGACTGTTAGACTTTTGAATATTGATAGATTTTATTTAAAATCTCCTATATTTTTCAGTTTTTTAAACCTTTAACATATGTAAAGTGTTTTCTTTTCAAGTTTGGAACTAGTGAATTTTTTTTGACCTTTGAATGTGTAAAATTTGAAGAAATTGTAGTTTTTGAAAGTAGATTTTCCAAATTTTTTACATATTTACAATTTTTCAAAATATGGAATACACACATTTTTGTTTCTTTTTCCAGAATTTTCAGATATTTTTCAAAAATATATCGAGTTTCACGTCTGGTTGAGAATTTGAAATTTGTTTTTCCTTTGATAAATTGTCTTCGTAGAATCCTTAAAATCTCACAGTTGTTGAAAATTTTCTGGGTTGTCGTTTTGGGATTTACTTTTAAAATTGAAAATTACGACGTTTTGAAATTTTCAAAATTCTTAAAATCTGAAAAATTATTAAGATACGAAATTTCAGAATTGTCAGTATTATTTCAGGAATTTTCAGAATCTTAATATGTATTATCATTTTAGAAGTTTGCCGGTTAGACTTTTGAATAATGATAAATTTTATCTAAAATCTTTCAGTTTTTTAAACCTTTTACATAATATATAGAGGGTTTTCCTTTCAGGTTTAGAACTTCCAAATTTTTTCCGAGCTTTGAAATGTCTAAAATTTCAAGAAATTCTAGTTTTTGAAAGAAGAGTTTCCAAAATTGTTACTAATTTATAATTATTCAAAATGACGGAATACATAAATTTTAGTTCCTTTTTCCAGAATTTTCAGATATTTTTCAAAAATCGATGGAGTTTTACGTCTGGGGTTAAGAAGTTGGAATTTGTTTTTTTTTCTGTGCTCGATTTTAAGGCCAATCAATTTAAACAACTGGTAAATTTGATTCGTAGGATCTTTAAAATCTCTTAACTTTTTAAAATTTGCAGGTTTTCAGTTTTGGAAACTATTTTAAAAGTTGAAAATTAAGACATTTTAAAAATGTTCAAAAAAGAAATTTCAGAATCGTCATAATGTATTATCATTGTACAGTTGGCCTTTTGAACATTGATAGATATGATCTAAAATTACCTGTATCCTCCAGTTTATTAAACTTTTTGCATATAGTTATAAAGAGTTTTCCTTTCAAGTTTGGAACTATTTTTTCTGAGCCTTGAATACTTAAAATTTTGGGAAAGTGTAGTTTTCTAAACTAGAGTTTACAAAATTTTTACAGATTTAAATTTTTTCAAAATTATGGAAAACATATTTTTGTTTCTTTTTTCACAGAATTTTAAATCTTGAGAATTTGGAGTTTGTTTTTCTCTGTTCGAATTTAACAGTAAGTTTGATTTATAGAATATTTTCATAGCATTCGGTTGTGCAATTTCAAAGTTAAATGTTGCTGCACAATGCTAGTTTTTTTCCCAAACAAAAACTGAACATGGATTCATAAACCACAAGTATGTTATTTTATAAAACTTAAATAACATTAACTGTTATAAATTTTGGAGGTTAAGTCACTTTGTCGTTGGGAGGGGGAGATTCGGGTCTTCGATTGAAAAAGTCATCAAGTTGGCCTTGATTTTTTGTAAACATTGTGAAGTATGTCAATAAATTTAAAATTTGATGAATAAAATTTGTGGAATAAATGGGCCACCGATTAACTAATTGTTTCCTATAAATATTTACAGCATATTTTGTGAAACATGAACGTATTTGCATATTTTGAGTATGCGTTGCATAATTGGAGCATATTTTTGTATGTTTAGTTAAAATCCGTGCATATGATTCCGAGTCGTAGGAATGTCTCAAAACAAACTCGCGGAGTTCGTATGCCATCAATTTTCTTCGTCAGCAAATAAAATGTCGCTTAAAAAACTAGGGTAGCACACGATTCTGTCGTCTTCATGGACGAATAGATCACGTATACGTGGCGGAGGCAAACATATGTCGGCAAAGCGTGGTAGTGTTTCAGGTGTGCATATCTAGATAATTTGATTTGTAAACATAGTTCAAGATACAAACAAAGTTGTTCTCCCACTTTGACGCTAATGTATTTTCGAAATTTAATGTTTGCCATAAAAACAATTCTTGTAAAAAAGAGATGTTTTGAGTTAAATGTTTTTGTGATGGTATTTGCGAGCATCGTGGGCATGGAGTGATTAATTACGGGTATCTAGCAGGCAAATTATGTTATTAACTGTAGAGTATTCGGGGCAACACTTCATTAATTAGGCGGAACTAAGTTCATAACATGCTAGTCAAAAAGAGATTTTTCAGTGAGCGAAGACTGCTCGGAGAGGTGTTTTAATTGTGGAAACAAGGAGCAATAATAACATATTCCGCTCCCTTGTTATGCGGAGGATGCCGAGACGTAATGGCATTAGACCGGAATCATAAAGCAGCTAAGATTTGTCGCGAATTGTAAAAGCTTCGGTTCATCTAATAAATATTTGACGGGAAGCCATGCAGTCAGTTTCTCTTGTCTTGGTTACCAATTACGAGAATGTATAGTTATCTCAGTTTTAATGCGTTCATCTGTCGGTTAATAGCGGGAAGGCGGAATTAATATAGGTTACACTTGTAACTTTACTAGTCCCTAAACAAGATGACGCTCTTGTTATCTTATGGGGAAAAGTCAGTAGACGATTCGACGAGATAAAGTGCTCAAACCGCCCCAGGTTGCTGCTCTTACTTCAGCAGTAACGCGTTTAAAATTGTACACTAAAAAATAATTTATACAACATTAAACGTTGCTATAATAAATACATTAAGAAGGGGGAATTTAAAATCGTGTAAATCTTATTTGTCTGAGGTTTCTTTATGCAAATGCGGCTCGTTAACAATGGTATTTTTCCGGCTAAAAGTACGCTTAAAGAACTTAGAAAACAACATCTTTTCAA